TGCCCGCTTGGTATTCCAGCCCTTCTCCATATTGGTCATGTTTTCCAACTCTCTGCTATCAATTTTCACTACCGCACTCTTAATTTGGGGCTAAACAAACCAGAGAAGAAAAGTGCAACAAGAGGAAAAGCAGGTGCAGAAGCATGAAGAGGTCAGCACAATGTCCATCAATGGCAATGCTGGAACAGTACAGCTCCCTCAGCCTATATTTGCTATACCACCTAATGCAGCATTTCTGCTTAGGGTCAGGGTGAACTCAGTAGGCTCAGAGAGCTGATGTACATGAATAACTGACAAAATCATCTCTTCAGTGAATCATATTAGGGGCTGGTGGTCTGTGCCAACCTTAGAAACCTAATATATAATCTAATCCACTTATCTATAAATGTTAATGCTTCTCACAGTTACATTCAGCTACTTATTTACTGTAAGTGTGTGAAATTTTATATGCACAGATTTCATGTCTCATTTCCTAGGCATGCATAGTCTCAAAGCATATCATGGATGGGTTTACTAACACGATAACCTGAAGTGAATTGAAACTCTGCAAGTAATAAAATTTAGAGAAACAGTTTAGCTAATGAAGAACATAGCCTGGCAATCTTCCATGCATAAACATACACCAAAACCAGGTCATGCCAAGATTCTTAGCTTGCAACTTTTTAGAAAGTCCTTGTATGGTTTATATTAGATCCTTTAAGTTCATTTAATTTTTCCCCTTTTTGCAGTTTAATCCATAGCTAGTTGAACTTATTGCCTCTTTTTAATGTAAGTATTAATAATGTAATAGACATAAGTCCAAGTAAAAGTAATAGTATTAGTGTGTTCATATAATTTGGTTAAGACAGGCCTTACACTAAGAGGACTCATCCTGTGCCTTCTGTGCCAAACCTCTATGAATGGAATGAGATGCTGCAGTGTGACCTGTTAGAGTAATGTGTATGGCTATTCACATAATAAATGCTTTCTAAGACTCGTAAGAATTCACTTCACAGTCAGGTACTGAATTTGCACTCAAGCTCCCCTTAAGCCAAAGAATCTCTCTCAACAGATTTAATCGAATGATCGAGGCCTTAACATTTGTTTTCATATCTAAAGGTCTAATTTACCTCTTATATTCCCAAAGTCTTCTTTTCCAAGCCTCAAATGTGTACAAAGAAAATATCTGCAGTTGCTTCCTACAGACTGCAGCTTGCTTACTGTTCTCTTTTTCTAGTAAGAATATTGACTTAGTTTTTAGTTTTCAGATACTTAAGTAACTGACTAGGTCTAGTTTAGTACTTATGTAAGCATTCAAACCACATTCAGTATATGAATTAAATGAATAAAATTCCACATAGCCACAAATGCTGAGTGCTGTTCTTTCTTTTGTATGGTTCAACACAAAGTCATGAGGGAGAGAAACACTCTTATCCCCAGCTATACAATGGCACTTAAGATGGAGAGATTTTGTCACTGGCCACATAGGAAGTCCATGATACACTAGGAAAAAGAGGCAGAAGACAGACAGGAATATCACGTTCAGATCATATTTAAAGCATATCAATACACGAGACATTATGCCATTATTGATACTGGATGAATAGACCATACACAAGATTTTCAGGAGCATGTGCTTCACAACACATCAGTCAGACTGGTCTTACTATTCATTAGCAGGCTTTGCTTGGTCTTAAAACTGAAGCCCTTAAATATTGCACAAATTGTGTTCAAACCATATGAAAACACTGCATTGTCAAGTCTTGTTTGTACCAGATCTTGAGGCCTTTTGAAAATGTTGATAGGGCATCATTTTACGTTATGAAACTCGGTCAAACTTAAAAATTTAGCCTGATTATGTGTTTATAATGTTGCGTTCAAATGAGGTGTACTTCTGTGCTGTCTTTTCACTGAAGAGTAATGATTGCTGGACCATTAGGGGCAACTACCATGCTGTCTTTACCCAAAAGAAATATGGGTCATACTTGAGAAAACAATCAATACTTGTCTTCTCAAATCAGGCCATATTGGACCATAGCTCAATAAGCTTGACCAACCAATTGATTTTGAAAAGAATAAGTGAAAAAGATGAGGGAATCTCTATTTAAAATTTTATACTCAGTTATATCCCATACGTAAAGAAATCAGGTGGTAGTGCAGCACTGTGCATACATATATGCATGTAAATCTGTCATACTTTTGTGTTGCACGCATATATGTGCAACAAATAGTTTAAAGTGACGACAGCCACAACAATTAAATCTCAGCTCTATATGTGCTGTGTTTCTTCTACTGTGCATGTGGACACAATTATGTAAATATTTGTGCAACCTGATATCATGTGACATCAAATTCTGAAAGCTACTAAAGGTAATTATGATTTTTACTGCAAAATTACTTCTGCTGATTTGTAGGGTATGGTCTAGGCCCTTTGCTCTGTAGCAGCTGTAGTGTCAGATCCAATAAGGTATTAACTGAAACACCACTTCTATACTCCAGACTTTTGTACAGAGACTACACTGAGAATTTCATCCAGTAATGATGTACAGTTACAGCTTGGGAATGAAGGGAAGATGGGAAAACAGTTTCCCTGCAAATTCAACAATTACAAATGAAATGCTAATCTACTCCACACATAGCAGTTAATACTGCTGTGTGTCATTTCATTAAGCAGTTTTACAAAAATATTTTAACAACCCATTCCCAAGCAACACAGCCACAAAGCAAGACATCTCTGCACACAAGAGGTGTGCTCTCATTCCTACACCATACTGGCAGAATCTGTACCTATGCATGGTACAGATTGGGTGTGAACAGAAACTCTCACAGAAGATTATGATGCATTAAAATCACTTTGGTTGAAAATACAATACATAAAAATACATAATTAAGAGTTTAATTACTTATACAAACTGTTTATATTTTTTTCTTTGAAAAAGCTTAGTAGATTAGCAGTCTCTATTAGTTCGCCACATAGAATACTTCATGGGCAATCACACACAGTTGTAACGATGGTTTTGATGTAATTAAATAGAACCATTAAAACAGCTGAGGAGAAAGATATCTAAACTTTGCACAAACTTTATATTATTTATTTCTGCTTATATTATAATTTATATTATTTATTTCTGACAGAGGACTTGTTAAGATTTTTTTCCATAAAATGGTTCTTCCTATGGAAGAGAGTTTTGAGGCTTTACAGATTTTGTTAGCATTTTCAGAAGTTCTAAAAAAACATTTTCAATTGTGAAATGTTAGAACATGAAAGAGGTAATATTAATGAATATCTTCCTTATGAAGAAGAATCATGCCTCTGAAAATTGCACCTGTGAGACAGGAAAGGGTATGAGAAGTTGCAAAGACTTCAGACTTTAAAAAAATGCATAAAATGAAACACAAACTTTAAGCTCAAGAAGCATAATTTAATACAAAGTCTCTATTTGTAAGGAGCCTGTTGAAAGATGTAAAGAGTCATCTGCTAGAATTCTGTCCCTAATTAAAAACATTTTGGTTGAATTTGCCAGTCGTTCATTCAATTTACCATTTTCAGATGGTGTTGAACTGTCATGTCAAGTCTTGTGTAGGAATTGGGAAGAGAAATCCTTAGCCTGCATTCCCCAGAAGAATAAAGCAGCTAATCACAAAGATTCCCTTGGAGCCTGGTAAAAATCTATGAATCCATATTAACTGTGGAATACCCTTAATAAAATACTACTTACTGTTTAAGCATAGGCTTTTTGGGGAACCGATTATGAGAATTTCAACAGTCCCAATAGGTGAACATCGTCATAGTGACTGCATACAAATGTACATTCTGATATAATAGTCGGTGCTATTGATAAGTCCATACTTTGTTATATTAAAATTCAGAGTACAGAATGATTTTTCAGACACAGAACTACCAGAAAACATAGAGAGAATAAGCTAAGCAGAGACAGGTCACATTTAACCGTAATACTTCAACTTCTTTGCAAAGTAAGGTACAACATTCAGACCACAGCAACAGATGCATAATATCAAAGTTTAACTTTTTAATATATTATAAAGCACCTGAGCTACTCAAATGAGAATAAATTAATAAATAGCACACACACAACAAACTTACAGAACAGTACTAGCAGAACTGCTAGCCAACTACGTCCTTGTCCCTTTCCTATAGTCACAATGCAGCCAGAGTGCACAAATCCCATGCAATCAAGAATACTTCACCTCAGTGTGCTCCTGATCATCATTAACAGCAATGTTTCCCTTATCCAGCCTTAGAAACACTGAAGCAGGCCTTTCTGTGTATACTCCAAGAAAGATTTTTCAACATACAGGCAACAGAAGCAAAAGGAGCTCCAGAAATGTTACATTTGCTCTAAACATTGTGTTTGCCTTCCACTAGTCATTGACTTGCCATGCCCAACTGTATTCAATCTAGGGAAATTCAAAGCTTAATCCTTAGGAAAGTGATTTGTTTTGTGCAGGTACATGTCATAACATATCTTGAAGTCATCCCTATTTTCTAGGCTGGGAAGGAAAAAAAAAAAGTCAAAGCATCGCTTCCTCCAAACCTATACCAGTGTCAAAACATCCATGATCAGAATTGACAATAAAATATTTTCCACCAAATCTGCAGGTGAAAAAAAGCTTCAGTGTTTACCACCTGGTGGCTCAAACTGGTAAATATACCCTTCTTAAACACGCAATATCGTCGTTTACATTTAACTAGCCTCTTCAGCAGCAGGCACAGAAACTTCTCTCAAAGTTGCTCCCCAAAGGAAAGCCGAAGACCATTACGCTTTCAGCAAGACTGATATCGAGCCAAAATCGTCCTGATCAATGGGGTAATCGAAAATGCCAGGACTGTGTCCAGCTTCCAAACCGCTCCGAACATCCTTAACGCACGCAGCAACCGCGAGCCCGAGCTGCATCTCTCTTCCACCCACATCTTCTAAAAGCCAGCAGCCACCCACTGAAAAGATGCTGGAGTCAAACCAAACAAACACGGAGCGTACAGCAAACGGAGAAGTACTTACATCCCTGAATTTGTTCCAGTACTTGTCTCTATCGTACTGCGAGACGGTGCTCAGCCATTTGTCGTTGTCCAGGAAATTGCCACGGCTGCTGCTACTCGTGATGACCTCGGGATGCCGGCTCTCCACTTGCAGGAAGCACCAGGCAGCGAGGACCAGCACCCCCGACATCTGCAAGGAGAGGATTCCTCGAGCGGGGAAGTTTGAGGGCACCCAAGTTCGGCCTTTTCGCCCCTCACGCCCCTCGCCAACTTCTGCCTGCGGAGCCACCAGCTCCGCTCAGACCCACCCTGCCCGCCCAGCCGTGCGGGGCGGGGAGCGACGGCAATAAAAACAAAAACAGCTCACCCACGGCCGGGCAGAGGCACCGGCCAGGGGAAAATAAAGCTTTACGACACCCCAGCAAAGCCTCCCGCGGGAGCAGCCAGCGCTGGCTCCGCGAAGTTTGGGTGCCAGGGCTGAGCCGAAGCCCCTACCTCCGGGCAGTGCCGCCAGCCGCGGCTCCGAGCAGGGCGGGCGCCGCTGCCTCCTCTCCCTTGCGCGGCTGCCGCGGCTCGGACAGCGGATGGGAGAGAGCCGGCGAGCCCCCGCTAGGCTCCGTCAGCGGCTCCGGGCGTGTGCGGCTGTGTGTGTGCGTGTGTATGTGCGTGTGTGTGTGAGAGCGAGCGGTTGCGGGCTCTGCGTGAGCCAGGAGCCGAGGTCTGGCGACATCTTCTGGCGGCGGGACGCTGCTGAGGTAACGGGCAGGGCGAGGCGCCTCCCGTCACTGACCGTCACCGACTCGCTGTCTGTAACGGCCTCTTGGGCCAGGATCACTCCCCAAACCTCTTCACGGATGGGGAAGGGATACAAAATCCCCTCCTGGCTCCCTCCCGGCGAAGTAGATGTGTCAGCAAGGAAGCAAGGTGGCTCCCTTTGCGGAGAGTGGGGAGCAGTCCCCATGAGTGAGCCGCAGGGACGTTACATGGGGCCTGGAAATTCTGCTGATCAGCTTCGGGTGGTGAGGAGGCAGCTGGGGAGGCATCTGTGGGGGTGTTGGGGGTAGCACCATCACGGAGACTGACAGTGAAGTCTCACTCCTGATGCACCCCGATGTGTTCCAGAGCCATAAACCTGCCCTTTATAAACAAACAAAAGCCCTGCAAACACCAGCTGTAATAAGCCCTGGGTAGTACGTGACTATTTAGAGGCAATGGTTTCAAAATATCTGGAAGTAATGACATTTCAAAGGCATGAAAGTCATCCCAGATTTCATAATTTGTTTTGGCAAAGAGCTCCCCCTCCCTTTATCAGCTCACCCCACTCTGTGAAGACGTTTTTGCCCCCACACAATGGGTAGTGAAGGTAGACCTTGCACTGCCCAAGCCATCGGTTATTGCTGTAATCCGTCCCCAAAACCTGTGAGGAAGGCACTCTTCCCACTCTTAATTTGAACATTTCAAGGGGTAGGAAATAGGGAAGTTATTTAAACTGTCTTGTAAATATTGCCTTTTATCTCCCAGGAAGCTGAAAACAGGGTTAATTCCACTTTTTCAAACAGTTGGATTAGAGGGTTCTTTAGGAACACAGGAGAGGGTCAAGGTTATTAATATTTTGCCGTTGCATCTGTGCACTGAACTCATACAGTGCACAGATCTCATACAGTTCTGTTCCTAGATCTGACTTTAAGTACAGTTCCTAAATACCACATAACTACAACAAAAGCCACTGGGATTGAAAATAAAAATAAAAAATAAAATAAAAATGAGGGTTTATTAATTTTAACAGTAGAGAACAAGCATATACGCACATAAGTACTGCATCTTGCATTCTCCCCTTGATGCACATAGAATCTAATGAAAGCTACATGCCTGCAGGAGGGCAAAATATAACCCAATAAAAATAACAAATAGACGAAATCCAAAGCAAAGCCCTGCAGACATGGATGTAAATCCATATCTAAGCACCTTGCTCCACCTTCCTTTCTACATTGGACTATACCATTCTTCTCAAGGTTGTCCAGGGTTCCTCTCCAATGTCGTTCAGTTAGTTTCAGTGACAGATAAGGTTTATATAACTTCCTCCTGGTAGGGTGAACACAAGCTTTCTCATTTCTTATTTAGATTAACAGAGTACCGTAAAGTTATATTTATTTATTTATTTATTTCTTCCTGTATGGTCTTTACTGTAAGGCTTTTAACAACAGAGAATTTGTCTTCTCTGCACAGACATTAAAGCTCTTGCACCATCTTAAATCTTATGGTTAAGAAATTTCCCCAGTGAGCTTTACGGCAATCTATTGCCATTCAGCCATATACAGTTCCATTTGACTCATGAAGTTAAGACATTGCTGCATTTGAGCTCTGCTAAAACAAATCACCCTATCTGATAAATACTTGAGGATTTTTATGTGCAAGGGGCTATATCCATGCTTACCAGTTTTATGTAGATACACTCATTACTACTTTCTTGATCCCACTGGACATCAGATCAATTTAATCCTCCACTGACCCAGGCTAGTAGACAGCAGCAGAACACTGTTTCCCACCAAATTTGTACGAGTTCTACCTTTTATATATTTATATCAGCAGTTAGTTCACTCCTGTAAATCAGACTTGTTAGCACAGCAGGCCAAATTGAGTACACAGTTCAGTACAGTTGACTTCACTTAGTATGAAGCAGGTTAATATGCTTGCCAGTCAAAGACCCGAATGATAAATTACAGAAGCATTGTGTGCAAACTGAGTAATCGCATTCTTACTTGTAATAGTTGTCAGAAATGTGTCTTCATTTATTTAATTACTTCATAATCCCATATTCAAAACATGGCTAATCTTTCTTGATCCAGCAAAACACAGGCTTCCTCTTTAACCCTGATAGCAATCTCTATCATTCAGCAGCTGCAGCATTTCACCTCCAAGCTGTTTATCATCCATGACTAGAATTGAAACACCCCTGTCAGCTGTTTTTTATCATTGGACAGTGCTACAATTACCTCTAATTCTGATCCAAGAATATAATAGTAGAAATCTCTCTACGGTGGATACCAACTATTTGGTGTTTTGGATGTAAAAAGCTCCTTTCTTCCCAGTTAGAACTGCTGAGAAGTTAATAAACATTTTTACCGTGTTTGCACCTGTAAGAAGTGCCACAATATTGATTTTTGATATTATTTGCTGATTTACCCAAGCTGTGTAAAACATTTGATTAGAAGTTGCAGTTACAACCATGGCCAGCCAGATTCTGCATGCTGCAGTCTATTCAGGTTCTGTTCTGGAAGCAGAATCTTCTGGTGCAGAAAGCATTTCTCACACGGAGGAATCAAGGTTCAGATCTCATTTTGAGTTAGTTCCCCATGCAGAGGAATGATATAGTCATCTTAATAGGGCACTTTGGGACTTGCAGTTAATAGAGAAAGCCTTCAGCACCAGTCTTGCGGACAACATAAACAAAGCATGTTAACTTCCCCCTAGACCAAAGAGGATACCTGGAGAACCTAGATAGCCACTCCTTTCTACCCTAAAGCTACATTGAACTTATCCCATATCAACCAGTAGCAACCAGTTGCATAGCCAGTAGGGTGAAGCCAGCAGCAATAGCATGTAAATGTTGTAATGTAAAGGATTCCTCTTCCCCCAGTTATACTTGCATGGCAGCAAAACTCACTTTTTCACCTTCTTTATTACTTCCATAGTTCTTAAGGCAGTGGCTGCAGCTGTTGTCGTAGAGCCTTGAAAATCTTCTGTGGACGTTTATTAATGGTTTTTCCTCTCCTCTTGTGAGGCACAATTCCACCGACTTCATTTTTAAAAAACATTTACTGAAGAAAGAAAATCTTTACAGTAACAAATGGTTAAATGGCATTTCTGTACTCTACTCTGTACCAGAGTCCTTTATTACTGGATTAGGAAAATTCTGGTCTTGTAATTTAACTGGATTTTAAAATATATCACTAAAAATGTACATTCAGTGGCACAGACCTTCATTTAACATCTCTTTGTATCTTCCATATACTGCTGTATCTTTTTAATAGACAGGGATTTTATTTCCTCCTCTGACTCTTAGGACTGCAGATTCAGCTTTGTTAGCTCTGCTGGGCAATTGTGCAGAAAAAACTATTTTAACCTGTGCAGTAAGTGATTGTTGGCTTATACAAAGTTACTGAGACATTTGTCCATTTTACAATAGACTGCAATTCCTCTTCTCTAAAAATACTGCAAATACAAGTACTGGTTTGACCTCTTTATTTGTCTCTGCTCCCAGCTTCTTCTCTATATAAATCAGCCATATCTTATTGCAACAGAGTCTGATTTTTTGCAGGAACTTAATAAATGCATGCAACAGGAATGCTGCATGTATATCATGTGGCAGGAAAATGGTTTTCTAGCAGATAAAGTGGCACTACCTACTTTGGAGATGTTGCAGTTCATGCAATTCCCCTTGCTCTTGTCCTTCTGAACCACATAACCCCAACATCGGTGATTTCAGTGTAAGAGAAAACATCCATTGACTGTAAAGATCTTACAACATGTTCTGCAATCTATTTTCTAGCCTGTATTAGTTGTAATATCCCAAAATAAAGTGAATTGAAATACTGGCAAGTCTCGGGAAAAAATAAAAGGTGATCATAGCTTATGGTAGACATGTAGGAGAAACAGAATGACTCAGGCAAAAGAACAACACAAATAAAATCACTTATCAGCTCTGGAAGTTGGAGGTGGATTTCAGGACTGAGTTTTCCTCATCTTGCAAAGCTATCTTGCCGACAGGTGTCTAGAAGAGAAAAATACTTTTAAAACTGAAAAGACTTGCATTCACAAAAAATGTACAACTAAAGACAAGACTAAGTTTAAATTGAAAGAGGAGACTGAGGCAGTTATTAACAATTTTTAAATTGTCTTCTCTTCTAACAATCCATGATTTACTCTGTCATCAGTAAAAAGAAACAAGTTATTCTGAATAATGCCTCTGAGCAAAAGTCTATCCTAGCCACTGTGCCTTGTTTTCTGAAGGTTATTAACTCCACAAAGGGCCTACAAAAGAAGAGTCGCAATAAACATTGTGATTACTGTGCTCAGGACCTGCAGCACAGTTATTCTACATTAAAAAAAAAAAATAAAAAAAAAATAAAAAAAAACATCATGCTAACTTAAAAATCTAACAACAACAACAAAACCCTTTACCCACATATATCAGTCTATTCAAGTCATATCAGAACATTTACCAATTTAACGGCTATGAGTTTTTAATGATGTATGCAATATGGGATGATAATCCCTGCATATTTCACAAATTGTTTCACTTTCTCATCTTTCTAATGGGTATGGTGATCATGACAAAGGCGATTTTATGTTATTTCACAGAGTATCTTGTAAACTGACAACCTTATTTTATAGTTTCTTTTATTACTACTGGAACTTTTACAAGGGATTCCATCACAAAAATTGGTTAACTTAAATATTGTCATGGAGAGGTCTCACCATTTAATGCCAGAGTTCACTCTGCCCATGCAGCTTTCATTTTCAGTCGGAAAAGGTCATTAGAATTAAATTTCTCCTCAGACCTCATACTCTGTTGGAATGTGAAGTTTTGTAGCTCTGTTCAGCCTGAAAACTATTTCCCCAAGATTTGCCATTGTCAAGCAACTGGAGAGAGTTACCTCAAACCCTCTCTATAATATATATGTACAGAAATAAATGTTTGGAGATCATGTGGAATATC